TTATCATCAAAGATTCAGTTTGCCAGTATTTTACAATAAAACGTTAAGAAAAACGCGGTTTTTCTGTTTAGAGACAGAGTTGTTGTGAGAAATACTGACCTAAAAGTGAAGAAACTGAAGAAAAAAGTTTGCAAGAGTTTTCCAAATCAATTATTATATTTTTCGAAAATGTCCTCGAAAAAATTACTAGGGTTTTGTCTATAACTCGAAGCTACAAAAAGTTTTCCAAACATTATTGCAAAGCGGTTAAAGAGGCGAGTGTTCCAATAAAATGTATCTTATAATTTTTAAAAGAAAATACCTAAGATTCCAAGTATTTTACATAAAACTAAAAAATAATGCGATTTTTGCGTAGAAAGAATTGCTTAATGAAAACTTTGTTAAAACTGGAATGACCTGAAAATTTAAATGAACTTTAGGAATCTTCAGAGCGATGAGAGCGGCGAATTTTCCCCAAAAATGTTTTGTAAACTTTTGCTCTCTAGTCGTTTCTTAAAGATATTTGCAGTTGAAAAGAGTTTTCTAAAGTTCCCTGCAAACTGATAAATGGGGCGAATTTTCCAGCAAAATAAATTTTGTAATTTTTGACTGAAAACACCCGATTATGGTCAAAAAAGAAAAAATCATCAGAAAATATTGTTTTTTTGCGTTTTCGATTAAAAACTTTTAGTTTTGTGATCGGTTTTGGAGAAAACCTTAACGGTTTGCGGGAAAAACGGTAGGAATTTATTTTCGTTTTTGTCCCGACATTGAAAACAGTTCATGAACATTTTCCACAAAGCTATAAATTTTTCTTGTAATTTTTTTCGTAAAAGTCCTCCAGATCGTCAGTATGTCTAAGTAAAACTCAACAAAATAGAGCGTTTTTAGTAGAAACTAAAGCAAAAAAAATCAGTTGAAACTAAAAAACCACATTGTTTAACAAATTCTCCAGTCTTCAGAGGAATGGTGGTGACGAAATTTCCAATTAATCTGTTATAAACTTTCGCTTCTTCTGTTCCTTTTTTGACATAAAATTGATTGTTTGATTTTAGTTACAAATTCGAAACTTGAAAGGCATTTCGAAACTTTCAACAAAGCGACGAAGGATTCGAAATTTATTTCATAATTTTTCGCGGAAAATTCCTTAAGACATTTTGCATTTTTAAGTGAAACTTGAGAAAATTGAGCATAAAGCTGGAAAATTTGGGCGAATTTTTTAGGCAGATGAATTTTCCATTAACCTTCCCGAATGCATTAGTATTATAGAAATTAATCGTGAAAATCAGCAACAATAAATCCACTGGAAGTGAGCCACGTACCGAGCGTTATCAGGTAGATGGTTGCAAGTTGGTGCAATTGCATCTAAACGTTGTCGGTAAATGGGAATTGCAATTGATTTTATCGGCTCGAAGTGCAGTTTATGGTCAGTTCCAGGACGAAATTTATCGTCCGGACACCGTTCTGACTGTTACTGGAAGGGTGGGTGAGGGCCGCATGGAAACGTCTCAATCAGGATCAAGCAGCGGGTGCTTTAGAAATTGTTGCCAGCGTCAACGATCGAGTGCTTTCACGGCTCAAAAGCGTTTCCTGAAAAGGTGGAAATTTCGTTTATTTATTTCCGCAGCGAAAGTTCACGCGAATGCTCCCAACAAGAAATATAAGCTGTCAAAAGCACGATTATATTCTTGAACGGTTCCATTACGGTAGACGTGTCTGGATTTAGCTTTTTCGGCCAAAAATCCACGTTTTATAGGGCTGTTTTTTGTGGCTCAATCCACCAGACTACTCGAAATGCATATACAGCCGCAAAAAGTCGGCATGACAAGCTGATACAAGTTCCTTTTTTCAAGCCCTGCAGTTTTCGGCAGAAAACGAGTCCAATTAATTGAAGTTTTTTTTAACCTTTAACAACTTCTTGACCTCAAAACAAGCCCAAGAAATATCACATTTTTTAATTTTCAAATATGGTGGAAAGCACATATTGCGAACTTTAAAAATTTCAGATTTTCGTTTTCAGATGCCGGAAGCTTTTCAAATCACCGAAGCTGCAGTCAGATTTAGGTATCCCGATAAGTTCGGGTTTGGTATCCTTTCGTTCAATTCAGGGCCCATTTCTACACTTTCGGAATCGGAATAAAGCCCTGCTTCCGTACTTTTGGACAAATTTTTCAAATGCCGGAACTTCCTTAAACAGCCAAAGCTGCAGCCCGATTTATTCCGAAAATTTGGGCTCTTCACCGCAAAACGAGCCCAATTAAGGGCCGTTTGCTAAACTCCAAAATGCAAAATAACGCTCTGATATCGCGTTTTTGGTCGCAGTGTTCAAAAGTTCCGTAAAACACCGAAGCTACAGCCGGATTTCCCATAAAAAGTTGTTCATTTCGAAACCGTTTAAACGTTTCAGTAAGGAAATGGTTGCGTGTATACAATTGAAACATTTTTGCCACACCCTATAGAAAACGTGTTTGTTTGCACAAATGATGCCAGTTTGTAAATTATGATAGCCACATCAGGAAGATAAGTACCAGTCAGATAACTTTAAAGCGATCCAACTTAAACGAAGGCAGCAAAATTCGTCATGGTGCCTAATCAACTGATCCCAGCTTTATTGGTTCTTGTGCTCGTGCTTGCTTCAGGTAAGTGCCAAAACAAATAAAATTAAGTTGGTTATAATTATCTGATCGCTTCTGAAGTTGCCGAGGCTCAGCTGAGATGCTACCAATGTAACTCGTACCGGGACGGCGCTAGGGGATCTCTGTGCCACAATCCCATGGCTCCCAATGTTTCTACGGTGGTTTGCAGCTCCGACGAAGTTTGTTCCACGGTTTCCTATATAACTGGTGAGTTTCCCTGCAATGGAGAAACTGTGGCTGATTGGTTATTCCAGGACAAATCCTGGTTACTTCCAGGGCGTGCGATCCAAGATCAAACTCTTGTCGCAACATCGAAAGCGGACTTCGGGCATTATATCCAGACCTGAGCAGGTTCTATTGTTCAACATGCTCATCAAACTTTTGCAATTCCGCAGGAAAAGTGGGGATTTCAATGGTGCTTGCCATAGGCTGCCTGTTAATGTCCAGGGTGATTTGAACAAGGGAAAATATATGATTTGATCAGGATTCAATGAGTTTTATGTTAAGGCTAAGAGCATGACTTTGTTGTGAAAGTTTTTGATATTTCGCCAATAGGGCGGTGAGTGCAAAATTTCTTTGAATCAATAAATAATCTACTGGATGAATCTGCATGTTTTTTACAAACACCCTGTACACAAGTTTGGTTTTTGCGATGTTCTATGAAATAGTTTAGAAGCAATTGAAGAAGGAAAAACTTTGCTAACTGGCAACCTCGATTCACTAAAATATCTCTGGAAATTCTCAGAATCAAACACCAAATTCATACTTAAGAAAAAAGTGATTTTTTGAACTTTTTCATATACCAAATCACGTTTAATTTCTGAGAAAAAATTTTAGGTGTTCTTAATTTTTTTCATTCGGGGTTTTATCAGTGAACATAATTTATGGCATGACGACATATTTGTTTGAAACACCCTATAGAAGGTACTTGACCGTCACCTTGGTTGTCATAGAAACAGTGACGGTTTGTGCGCGCAATAAAGTGGCCGTGCCGATTAAATCGAGAAAATTAAGGGAAAAAATCGTCCAAAAATGCCCAAATTGTGCATTTTCACAATCGGAAGAGTTTAGTGTTGGATTGGTTCGCTTTCCCCGTTCTAAAATGGTGTTTTTGCGGCAAAAAGTGTATTTGAATGTTCGAATATTTTGCGGTGACATTTCCCCGTCAAGTACCGTATTCTGAGGTTATGTAGCTGCCTGCAAGCCATGGAGCCAGTGTTGGCGCTTTCAATAAGATTTCAACTATTGCATGAAAGGAATGATACCAATCATGATACATACAAGGTAAACTAAAACCCCGAATTTCCATTTAGAATTTGAAAAATTGAACTTCGAGTTGAATTCGAAACTTCACGCAAAAAAAATTTATTCACGCTACTTTTATTTGAGTGAAAGACTACATTTAAACTGCATAGAGCCTCGAACACTATTGAATTTACAGTTGTAAAATAACTTTAGAACAAGGGCGGATCCATCTATCCAACGATGCCAAAACGAATTCTGTGGACTCAAAAAAAAACCACGCAAATCTAAAACTTCTTGAATTCAAGCCTTTTTTGAGAAAACTGCCAACATTTCCCCATCCATGGTTCACTTTCTAA